GCACTTTGAAAAGAAGTGTCTTGCAGCCAGAAGGAGGTATATATATAGGACATAAAAGGTTGGCGCAAGGCAAGTGCAAGGCTACAAGGTTCTCACAGTGTCAGTTCACTTGATCGGCGGGTTCAGACTATAGGCTATATAAACAGCAAATCGTTGGTTGAAGACAACGCCTGGCATTGGGCCACGTCATCTCAGTCGCTGCTTTCTTCGTCACATCTCGCATCAGGACTTTCTTCAACTCTCTGTACATGATCTCCAACAGAAGAATCGCATCCCTTCCTTGGCGCAGATGCTCGTCTTTGGTTCAGGTTTGGCTCATAGAGCTGCCGTGATATGACTTGTATATAAGACTTCCCAGATATGAACAACGCCTCATGAAGGGCGAAGAAGAGAAGCGCCATCAAACAGTCTGTGGCGCTATCCCCGTCCCAGAGTCAACAGCTGAAGGGGAAGGTGTTCGAGGCTTGCAATCCTCAAGATTCATGATATACAGTATCTGATCTTGAATCACCAGTTCGCCACTCAGCCTGCCCAGTACCCAGGATCCTCTTGCGCCGTGGCAGCAGTTGCGTGGCCCGCTGTGTACAACCGGGAGTGAACTTGGAGTTCTTGGCGGAGCGCCTACGCGCCGTGAAGAAGGCGCTGGAGGAGTTGCCAGCCTTCCGCCAGGCGCGACGCCGGCGACGCGCGAGGTGGCGGACATGCGCACCTGTGGGGTGACATGAAGATTTTCTTTGGGCCGGGGCGTAGTGCTGTGTACGTGGGGGTTGTCTCAATGGGTGGAGAAGAGTTTTCCATATGATGATGTGGGGATTGGAGGTGGGATGGGGATGTTCCATCAGTGAATATAGAGGGCATTTGACATTCTTATTTGGTATCCACCAGTGTTGCTGGACCGACATCTAGGCGGGCCTTTGCATGGAGATCAAGATGTTTGCCTTCAGATTCTATATTTCATGCTACAAAAGAAAGCTGAACATGTTTGCAGCTGCTTAGACTCCCAGTCAAGTGTGTTTTGAAGGGGTGGATTGGGTCAGCTGGTATTTCCCGGACAACTCTACATTTCCAAGAACTTAAACCCTTTCTTATGGAACATGAGAATGGCCTAAACTTTAAATCATTTTCTTAGAGATGCAAACCGTCCCACCTAAAGTCTTTTCTACCAGAAGGGGCTCCAACTACCTGCGTTTCCACAGTGGTCAAACCTCCCAACAAACATCCACTCCAACCACCGAACCGAAACGGAGGTAGGCCAGGAGCCCATAGGGATCCACTACTCCACTGGTGACGACTGACGATCCTCTGGACCAGGCGGTGGAGGCCTTAGCGATGCTGGTGCTCTCTCAGTGGACCTCCTCCAGTGGCCTCCACCTGCACGTGCCGGGCGCTCGGAGCACGGAGAACGCGAGAAGCGTTGAGAAGCGGAGCGTGTTTGGACTGGAGAGCCTGTGTGGGGTTGCCATGGGTTGGTGGTTGGTGGCAGTTTTTGTTCTTGAATAAATGGTCGTTGGATGGAAGTAGAGGCTAAAGGCACAGCAGAAAGCCCTACGAAGCTTTTTGGCCTAAAGCCATGTGAATGGGTTGGTGGCGCACGGATTGTGAGGAAGCTGGCGATGCAGGAGATGCGCTTTGGTAGCCTCAGAAAGTCAGTGTCTCGGCTGTCAGCAGTCTTAGAAGAGACCGCAGAGCGATCATATATACACGTCAGCGTGAAGAGGAGGTCCGTAAGGCACAACACCTTCGTGATGTGTAGAAGTTTGATGTTTTCCCGCAAAGGACTTGTTTCTTCTTTGGGAGCACTTTTCCTGACTAGTGCGACTCGTAGAGAATGAGGGAATGACCTCCCAAGATCAGATTGAAAGGATCCATTCCCTTATTCAACCTTCTTCCTTGCCAGTCGCACCAGGACACAGCATGATCAACATGTTGTTCTTTCGAAACCAGCTACCGGACGGCACGAGCGCCGCCAGGTGTGGCTCTCCATCGAACGCTTGCAGCTTTCAGCGCTCACGCACGCCCTGCGGTGGATGGACCGGTGGAACGCTCTGCACGGGGTGGGGGAGAGTGGACCGTGAAGGTGGGAAACCGCCGATGTCTTCCCTTCCACAGAATGGAGAAGAAATTCATAGAAATCGGAATTTGGATCAATTCATAAAAGATCCTGATCTTCGTGAAGTTTGGTGCTTGCGGCTTACAAATTTGCACATCTTTGGCCCACCACCCCACCAAGGCGCCCGGCCATCCCCCCCCCGTGGATATTCTGGCTAAAGAGGACAGCGACTTCAACCTGCGGCACGTGACGCAAGCGACGCCCAAAGCCTTGCGCTTATGGTTAGCCTTGGTGGCCAGCTCCAGCCAATCAGCTGCTCAGGTGGGGCGATGGAGGTGGCGAGCCAGAGTTAGGCCACTGGGCCATTCTATCTTAGAAACCATATTGGATCCCTTTTTCCGATCGGAAAAGGCCATATAATATATCTCGTATTACATTTATTGGGTGCTTGGCAGCTTGGTGGTCCAGAATCAGGGTCATGGGGGTTCTCTATAGGATTCTATACGTATAACGTTTACACTCATTATGTTTTATGTTACTCACTTGATTCTCACACGTTCGATGTTCACCTCATTCGTGAATCGAAGCACCGGATCTCGCCAGGTCATGAGCGCCGCCTTACGTCCCGGTGCCGCACTGCAAGGCGACCTGCGGCCGGGTCCGAACCGATGGTGCGACGAGTGTGTTGGGATCACATGAGAAAAGACATGGGGGAAGAACCCTGGAATGGATGAGGCTGGAACCGCCGTTGAGTTGAGGGGAAAGACTCAAGGTTTTGACCCACCAAGTGCCCTGTAGGTTCGTGTGGGATGCTATCATCATCTATCATCTCGTTGAGCTACATCTCATTGGGCGAATAAAGGATTTGTATGGATTTGTATTAGAATAGGGACCCCCCCAGAGACCCCCTTAGGAAGAAGACATCAATGACCCACAACCCCTTGGTTGATCTGGCGAATCCAGCAGACCGATGAATCCGATGTGCCAGGGCCGGCACCCGTGCCCAACTCGGGCCGCTTTGGGCCGCTGGAGTGTCGTTGCCCCTTCTCTGCCCGCATCTTGACCCAGCCGCCCGACGGGGATCGACGGAAGGTGCTTGGTGTGGATGGGGATCGATGTGGGGAGGAGGGGCGACTGGGGAAGGATGGGGGGTAGTGGGAAGGGTCTGTTCCGAAATGGGTGTGGAACTGTTCCGAGTGGAAACATGGAGGCCCTGTCCTTTCTCCACTTCTTGTGCGGGGTCATGATCTCTGTGGAGTTCGTGGGCTTTCCGCAAGCTGATAGGACTCAAGCTCTGTGGGTCAAAACCAGCAGACCCATTGCAGACCCTGATTGACCTCGCATCGATACTTGCCAACGACCACAGCCAAAAGCCCAGCTTTGGTTTTCACTGTCCAGGTGTGATGACGACGACGTTATACACATTGAATATCCTAAACAAGTATCCTGAAAATATGTCCTGCCTGCCAGAAAGAACCACTACCACATCATCCACATCGGACATATTTGCACCATACTACACCAGCATTGACCCCAAACAGCAGCAGCTTGACGTTTCCTTTTGGCAGTATGGCTTGTCTTCAACCCCAGTGAGCCAAAAAGCATACCGGTCGAGCCGGGTCATTCCCGATTCCATCTAGATTTGTTTTGGGCATCCAAGAAGAGCTTGCCATGAAGACAAAGGAGACGTTATCGCATCAGCCCGACCAACTCGCATCGACGAGCTCGGGTTTTGCCACATGAGTGCGAGCCCTGGATCATTCAACGGGTGTCCAATGTATATATACCAGCTAAACCAAAAGTGCTAGAATTGTTACACCGTCTTTCAATATGTACATTTTTGAGAAATACACACTCAATGATAATAATGTCATTCTATTTTTTTAAAGGTTACACTTTTACTAAATACATACTCAACTTGAATATCTCCGGGTTATGATTAATGATGAATAGTACAGTATATGATGAATCAAGTACAAACAGGAGTCTCTGATGAATAGTACAGTATATGCGACTTCCCATGAGTCTCTGACAGGAGACTCTTCTTCATTGCCAGCACAGCATCATCAGTAAGCATGGCTGCGCCCTCAACAAGGTCTCATCACGTTAATCACGCTCGCATTCTATATCTATATACAATATAGGAAGGTGTTCTTCCATCGGGCTGGCACCATCAAATTCTTGGAGCCTCTCATGTAGACAATGGCCTCCTCCAAGCAAGCCTGCCCGGAGATATTCAAGTATATGACCAACAGTATATGATGAATCAAGTATACTGCAATGCATGTTATGACCAACAAGTTATGTTTATGTTAATGTTATTTATGAAATTACGCAATACCTACCCTTTTACTCAATACATACTCAAGATAAAAAAAAAATATATATATATATACCAAAAGCAAAAATCAACATTTTTCAAAAACATGTACTTTTTTCGGGTTGTTACGGCTTAGCTGGTATATGTAGTGTGGGGCAGTCCATTGGACACTCGTCACGGGATACAACATGATTGCTATAGAACTTTCGATCCAGCACCCCTACCATACCCGCCTGGCGGAGGGCAAGGGATGTGTAGGAAGCCTCAAACCATGGTAGATGTCTGTTTGTGGTGACACATTTGTTTTCATCGTGGATCACGCTGCACTGGTGATTGGTTGGGTCAAGGACTGACCAGATCGGAGGAAGTGAGCGTCCATGGTTTTGGGACCCATCTTTGGGACCCAACAAGTTTAAAGACAAGATACAATTACTTTACTTCGAGTGATCCCCACCACATTTCGATCATTTGTCTTCATGCCAGTGAGGAGCATGTTGCCTTGGCCGTGAGTTTTGTGGTTCTGGAATTTGCTTGTGGGTCCTCGGGTTGTGTGATGTTGTGTGTTGTGGTCGTGTGTTGTGGTTGTGTGCCGTGGTTGTGTGCTGTGGATGTGTGTTTGTGGATGTGTTTGTGGTTGTGTTTGTGGCTGTTTGTTTGTGATGTTGTGTTTGTGATAGTGTTTGTTGTGTGTTTGTGATTGTGTGTTTGTGGATGTGTTTGTGATTGTGATTGTGCTTGTGATTGTGTTTGTAGTAGTGTGTTGGTTGTGTGTTGGTTGAGGTCCGGCAGCGCCCAGTGCGCTCAGGAGCTGGCGTTTGAGGTCCGGCCGGGAAAACTGCCAGCCGACGCTAGCGGTTGAGGTCCGGCGGAGAACGCTGCCAAGTGGACCTCGCGGTTAAGGTCCAGCGGGGAACTCTGCGGTCCGGCGGGGAACACTGGCATGCAGAGCTAGCTGGCGTTGAGGTCCGGCGGGGAACACCGCCATCCGAAGCTGCCGGTTGAGGTCCGGCGGGAACACTGCCATCCGGAGCTGGCGGAGAAGCGGCAGCGGAGGAGAAGGAGGGAGGAGGCGGAGGAAGGCGCTGACATAAAATCTAGCATCCCTCACCTGACAGGTGGGGAAAAAAGCAGTGCATACCATATTTTGATGAGACATCTGCAGATGTGTTGCACGACTCAGCAATATTCGGACATCCTTCTTACATGTAACTCTATGAAATGCAGATGCCTTGTGCTTACAAAGTGCCATTCCCAGGGGTCATTTTATGGAAGCATGTGTGCCCATATGGCAGGGGACCCTGGAAAGATAAGATCATGTAGGAGAGGGACGTGCATTTTATAAAGGTGTGGGCTTTAGCACTTTATATACAGAGAATGAGGCCTTGCAGATCATTTTATAACAGCTAAGTGTTTATAAAACGTAATACGCCACCTGAATGATTCAAGTAAGTGGGATATTCGGACCGTACTCCAAATACCACAAGCTTCTATTCTTCACGCAGACCCGCCGCGGGGCTTCCAATGTCCAATGGGAACGCTTCCAAGGCAACAGCAGATAAGATGTAGGTCAACCCAAACGAAGTTAAGATGTGACGGACCTTATCTGAAAAACGGGCGCGGCAATACGGTACGAGTGCATGATGCCCCTCACCATTAAGAATGCGGTTGCTTCGTGCTCAGACGCAGGTATTTTACGGTATGTTTCTATAGTCTGCCGAAACCCTTGGAAGCTGGTGCTGGACATGCCCAACAGCCGGGGCTGTGTAGCAGAGAGCTAACATGTTTTCGGCCAAGAGCATGCTTTAGTTGCAGCATGTACTTTGGCAGTGAGATTCGCGTTCAATTGCTTCGTGGGGTTGTGTGTATCAACATTGATTCACGAGCGTGCTGTGCTGCATGTGGGCGGCAGCTTCATTGATGAAGGACAGTGGCGCGCTCTACGCCAGCGTGTTTTCATGTTCAGCGACCAGAGCGATAAATTTCGGCAAGTGTGCTTTGTAAGTCCCCGCCTGGTAGCAGTGTGTTGTGAAGTTGTACACGGCAGGTGGTGAAAAATAGCTGGCAAATGCTAGCAACAACGACACTTGTTGATGACGGTGACTAGTGACAGCTGTCCTGGCTTCTCTGACTTGTTCTGCTATTGCCTTCTTTGCTGCCGCTACCACTGCCCGCCTCTCGAGGTGCGCTGCTGTCGCCAGCAATGTAGAAGAACGAGACCCCATACGACACTTGGCAAATGAACCTTGTTTTTTGGAATGATTTGCGCCTTGAGCCAAATCACACAATGTCACACTGTTGGTTCCAGTCCATGTGTGTAGCCCTTGATCACCAAACGTGAGGGTTAAGGCGTGTTACCACAAAAAATCAACTGTTTTGTGAAACAATTTGTTTGGAATTTGGACACTTTATTTTTCGGAGTGGGATGTGGCATCAAAATAACGTGACGGATGATTTTCCACGTTCAGTGAATCTTAATGGTGTGTCAAACAACGAATTACGCAAAAACGCAATGACATCGATCAGGTAACTATAAATGAGGTGATTCCCAAGTGAGAGACCTTTTATTGATTGTTTTAAAGACCATATTGACCTCATTCGGGCCCAGTTCCCATGTTGAACCCTGAAACGCCAGAAGTACGCCTGTCAGGTTCCATCCAGTTGCACTGCGGGTTTATGTAGTGACTGATGTGATTGGTTTCCTTCTATTTGTGATTTCACAATGGCACATCACAAAATCAGCAAACAAAATCCATCAACATTTCAAAAGATTTGTTTAAGAGTACAGGCCCATACCCACATCATTCCCGTCCAATTTGAGCATCATTTGTGCCGGACAGAGCGCCCTTCCAGGACTGCAAACGCTTTGCACGCAGATCTTTGGTGGGGGCCTCGTGTTTTTGCGGCGACGTGGACCGTGTGTGCAGAGACCGCGCTCCGCGCGTTGGAGACCGTGGAGTGCGACACTGCTGCACCGCCGGCTTCATGCAGTTCCTCCTCTTCCATTGGTACGATCATTTGGGTATTCGCCCATGAACTGCCGGTGGTCGTCGTTTCCTTCGCCTATAAACTGCCGGCTCAGTTTCTCCAAGGTGAGGAGGCGATGAAGGCCTTCAAGGACTTTGAGGACACAGATCCAGGCTATTCCGGGGAGATGAAAACAACAGCAAGAGAGGTAATTACGTAAGTTTGTCCGTGCAACATTGTTTTTGCTCCCACAATTTCATCCATTTCTGCAGATCGACTTTTTCGAACCGATCTCACCATGTTAGCACCCCAATCTGTGGATGGTCCGACAAGCGATGCTTGGCGATGCCGCCATCTTTTTCTTGCGAGGTGCGTTGTTGCATGATGCTGTGTCCATTTGGGCGCCAATCTATCCCTTCTTGAACTTCGAGCTCATGCTGAAGGCACCCGACATGCTCTGACCGACATGGTTTGTGGTTTCGGGTTCAGGATGGGCGGAAGGATTGGCGAGGCGGTTGTCTTGTGAAGTCAAAGAAAGGACATAATGACTGAAGAAAGAAGGGCAAGGACAAGGTTGCTACGAGGTAGGTATATGAGGCCTATGAGGAAGATTCCTTTCTCGTATGACTCGTATCTAGTATGCTTCCAGTGAACATATATATATATTATATGTTTCATGCAACATTGACATATGTATATACCTCAGAGCTCCAAGGGCCATGCTTGGAGGGAAAATTCTTTGGGGGTTTTGCCGATCGGAACGCAGTCGTTTGGGAGGAGTTTTTGCTGCTTGGATGGTAGCGACATGAACCAGTCGAAGTGATATCTACTCGTCCCAGTCCGCGAAAGTAGCAACTATAGACTATAATAGACTCCCTATAGGGCAACTCGCTCCAAGCACGTCCGCCTCAGAAGGTAGTTAGACTCCACAAACTCATCCCAAGCACCTTCGACTTGGGTTGGTGCTTGGAGCCCCAGGCCACCATTCATCATGGGTCTTTGCTGCCAGCAGAGTGGTGTTCGATGATTGCACCTGCAGGTCTACACATTAGCCTTTCAGAACAAAGCTGGTTCGTCTCCCTCGCAGTCTCCACTGGCTTCTCAGATTGCATTGGAAGAGTGCATGTGGAGGGAGCTTCTAGATGCAGGGAGTGTCATTGGTGTGAGACTTGCTGCTAAACATCCATCTTTTGCATGTTTTCCACCACACATATGTGTGTGACCCTTTCAGTTCCCACATCATGGCACCCTGGATTTGGAGAAGGTGCCACACTGTGATCTGGGCCTCGGTGGCCTTCGGTGCTCGCTATGGATGGGATGAGCATCCTGTCCATGCTTCGTTTCCAACGACGGATGCTTCGTTTACCACGGACGAGTCTCCACACCGCCGTGGAACGATGGTCCCACACGAGAACGGTCCTTCTCGGGTCCACACGGACGAGTTCTGAGGAGTTGGTGGTAATCTTTCAATCCTGCAAACAATTGGTCCAAAGCGTCCGGAGGCCCAGGAAACAACGACGTGCAGTTAGACGTCCGTCGGGAGTCTTTGAGGGAGGAATAAGCTCTAAAACCTGAGGTTGAGAGGCAGTTGGAGGAATCCGACGAAGGAGGTTTCTAGTTTCCAGCGTTCTTTCCGTTTTCTGGTGCTTTGTTGAAGAAAGGCGTGAGATCGGTATGTTGGAAGTATTGGAAGAAATGTGCTCGCTGCTGCTGTATGTCAGTTTCTTGAAATCAACACCTGCTGATACCAGCCCAGCATCCCAGTTCCTGAGAGATCTAGTTCTTTTCATGGCGCGCATGAGCTTCTTCTTCTTCACGCTGGCGACGCTGGCCAACGCCGCACGTGATCATCAACAGTACTCCAACGCCCAGATGATGGAGATGATTCATGACCTCCAGCAACGTGTCTCGCTCCTGGAGACACAGGCTGAAGCTCGTCGTTTTCGGCTCATTCAACCAAAACAGGTGCAGAAAAACACACATATATATATATAATATATAGAAGAATCATTTTGCAACATATAAAGACTCCAAATTCTACATGTTTGATTCAGCAGTTAAGTTCTTAACGTGCTTTCATTTTCAAGTTTATGAAAAGAATGTTATGAAAAGAACGCGATCCACTTGAAGAATTCATCCCACTTTCCGGATGGTCATTGTCCATTTGCTCCTGGATGACCCTGTGTTAAACCCTCAATTCAGGAGACTGTCCGTCATCCCCAATCTAAGGAGGAACAAATCACCGATTCTCAGAAGTGCTGCAGCATCACCAAGAAGGGCCAGTTGCTGACCACCTACTGTCAGACCTTTGCGAAGCAGTGTGCTCTTCGAAACAGCGGAGACCTTGAGTTTTTGCTCGTGGAGGATAAGTTCTGCACGAAATACTCACCCAAATGCGAGCGAATGGGGAAGTAAGCTCAGATCTCATGAGGCATGAGATCAAGTGTGGCCTTTTTTGTGCTGCTTTTGGCGGCCTCCGAACGCCAAGCCGAGGCTGAGAAGAAAAGAGCGAAATGACTGAAATGACATAAGCAATCGCGACATCTTTAAGACACAGCTTTTGACACACTTTGAATGGTTGCCTGATTTGGAGGCACAGTCACCGTAACGTTCTTCTGTCACAGCCAACACATCCCAAGGTCTGTTCGGTTCTCTCGTTGGTGGAGTCCAGCTTTGGAGAGGGGGAGGAGAATGAGGCGCGGAGGAAGGAACGACGAGACGGAACCAGGTGAGACGACCAGTGTCCAGCGCACTCCAATATATACTGTAGATGGTTTGGTAGAGCTTCTAACCTACCAGTTTACAAGTTGTAGCTCAAGCAACCTAGCAGCGAACGCGGATTGAAAGCGGTTGAACAACCAGGTGGCCTGGTAGATCAGTTTGTAGCCTGGCAATGTCTTAGCCGGGTGACCATGCCACTCTTTGACTGTGACTCTGCAGGACTCAGGACTTCGGTCAATGGGATGCATCGGCATCGGAACAGATGCTGCCAATCAACGAGTTGTTCTGCGCGCCATGAGGTATCATCTCACTATGAGCAAAGCGCAACAGGTCAACCATTTTATGTGTGTGTGTCTCTGTGTGTGTGATTAGGGTGACAACTGGAGATGTCCTGTGAAACGAACCTCAACACGGTGAACACCAATTCCAAAACGATATTCTCTCCTTGTGAGTGAACACACCTTGATCATGAAAATCAGCACGGAGACTGCAGCAAGCCTGGAATCTAGAACGATGCCCCATACCAACGATACCAAACTATGCCCCATTGTATTGTTTTCTTTGCGGACTTCTGCATGAAGCAGCGAACGTTAGAGCTGCGCATGGATCAATGACCTCTCTCGTTGATTGCGCCCGGACTCTCAGGACAGCAGTGCCAGCTGAGCTGAAGAGCTCTGGCACGAGTGGATCTCATATCCAGAGTTGAGTGCATGGTAGGAATACTGCTACAGATAGGGTCAACTTTTTTTTGTCATTTTTCAGAGGTATACTAGCAAAAGAGTCCGTCTAGTAGTAGTAGTAGTAGTAGTAGTAGTAGTAGTAGTTGTTGTTGTTGTTGTTGTTGTTGTTGTTGTTGTTGTTGTTGTTGTTGTTGTTGTTGTGCGACGTCCATGTGGACGAGGAAAAACCAGCGACGGATTTTTCAGAGTTGTTCTCGTCTCATCCATACAAAACAAGACCCACAAGTCTTGTTTGAATGCCATCCAAACTGTTTTGTCATTTTCAAGGTCCTTTGGCCACCAACCGTCCCAACTTCTTTGCAACCTCTACTTCCCACCCTTCGGCCTTCCAATGCCACACACACTCTTTGTGGCGCCCCGTCCACGCCGCCCGTGGGCCACGGAGAGGCCTCGTTGCGGATCTTGGACTCGGTTCATGGCTCCTTGCCTGGCAGCTTGGTGCAAGCCGTTGGCACCTTACCCGCCACCGCGGAGTGGGTCGTGCCTTGGAAGGGAGGAAGGTGGAGTGTGAGAGTGGGCGTGAAAGAAGATGAACAACCGATGAAATGAAGAAGAGTGCAAAGTTGCAGATGATAGAGGAGGCCTAAGGACTTCCTTATATGTAAAGTTTATCATTCCAAAGTAAAGTGATGGATGGGATACGAATGCACCCTGAAGGAGAAAACAGGCCAAGGATGTCGGGAGCCGCTCAGGACCGTGCACAGCCTCACGTGCAGATGTTGCTCTTCCTGGGCTCCACAGACGATGCCACTCGCTTGCCAGCTTCCAGGAAGTCTTAATACTTTACTTTTTGAGCAAGACCTTCCTCTAATTACTCTACCAAAGAAAATGACCGGTGTTTGTCACAATTGCAGTTTTGGGCTCATTGGATTTCCAAAAGGATTGAACCATTCGACAAGCGTGAAAAGATGGGTGGAGGCCTCAACTGGTCGAACTATTTCAAACTAACAGGTTGAACTGGATGTTTGTTGTGGATGCCTTGGTCGCCCAGATTTGTGAGGCCACGCTCAGAGAAGGAGAGCGTGCTCAGAAGCCGGTCGACCGGCTTCGCACACCACCGTCGGACCGGCGGACCGACGGGAGAGAAGAAGTATCTCTCATTGAGTGGAGCAAAAAGCAATGGTGCATGGGCCAACTGACCTTTGGAGAAAAGAACAGAACACCAACATAGCCGTGAAGCTTCGCGGATTGAAGGTTTTTTGGGGCTGTGACATTCGCCAGCAGAAGAGGTGGTGGAGGGCTGAGGAGGGGGGCGAGTAATGTTGATGACTGGAACACACATCCTCTCTTCCACTCCCTCCTATGATGGGTGCAAATCCCAACACTTCACCCACTTCGCCACGCCCCGCGCCGCTTCGCCACACGGTGCCTGGCTCGCCGCAGCCTTTGCGCTTCGCCCGATCGATGGTGTCCGCCCAGGTCCTTTCGATGGCGTCCGCCTGGTACCGACTCCGACTGAAGCTGCAGTTCCAGTCGGTGCTCGGGGAGGCGGGTGGAAATTGGACGGTTGGGGTAGTTTGGGAGGTGTGAACCTCGAGGCTTGTGAGAGAATGCGATGTTGAAACCTAGCTCTAGTTCAAGTTCAAGGGGTTCTACAAAGTTCATCAAAGTTCCACTTTGGGAGTTTGCTGGACTTTGGTTTACAAAAGGTTTGATGTTCGGTGCAGACCCTTTGCACACATCCGTAGAAACGGCTGCATTTGCTGATTGAGCCCACAGTAATCATGAGGGGACGCAGAATCTCAAGATCTCACGTGTGGCCTTAGTTAGTCAGCCATATGTACATCAAGATCAAGAAATTGAACAGGTTTTGAGCACCTTCCAATTAGGACTTCTTGCAGCTAATGTAGAATTCCAGCTGCACATCAGATGTTTTTTGTATTTTATTCTATTGCTTAAACGATACTTCTGATCATTGTCCTTTTCGATGCTCATTTCGCGTGTTCTCCTTCCTGTGTCTTCCAAGAACACCAGTGCCTCACACCTTGTGCATCGCCCCGTGCCTACATCGCTCGTTCCTCGGCAGGAGCGTGTCAAGGACATTCCACCGATCTCCTCGGCGCAGGAGTTGCTGACGCAGGACGACGCTCCACGCGGCGCGGGGTTCGAGCCGGCGCGCGCGCATGAGAGGTGTTTCGTTCGGATTGACGGAGACAAAGGAAGAGAACAAGGAACACACGGACAGAAGGAGCGACCGCTGTGATCGACTTGATGGTTGAATTTTGTTGGTCGACATTGTTTTCTTCATCGAAACAAAACGCTGGTTTACATCTTCAACCCTGGTGGTTTTGCGTAGCACCTCGAACAAAAAGATAAATCGCAGGTGTTTGTCACTGTTTGTTTTGAGCGTGTAATGAACATGTGATCGCTTTGTCGCATCCAGCGAGAATTGATAAGACCTGCCCCAGGTGCCTCAAATCACCGTGAGTCCTTTCATTTTTTTGGAGAATTTAGGAGAACACTGGAAACAAATCAAACGCCCATTGTGAAAGCATGAACATGGTCATGTTTAGTTTGTACATGTAGTGGTAGTGTCACGGTGTCGTGTCATGTAGTGTCTACATAAATTACACCATCGTAGACCCCAAACAGTTTGTGCTTTTCAACATCGGAATACTCTGCAACTAGAGCTTGCGACGTCCAGAGCTGGGAGACAAATGGTTGCAAGGCAGAGGCGGCCACAGCAGTCCAGAGCTGGGAGACAAATGTAGACACAGGGAGACAGATGTAAAGGATTGCAAGCGACATGCAGGCCAGAGGCGGATACAGCAGTCTAGAGGTGGGAGACAAATGCAAAGGATTGCGAGGTTGCAAGGTAGAGGCGGACATAGAGACAAACGTAAATTTAAGGATTGCAAGGCAGAGGCGCCCTGCTGATGCTCTTCCACAGCCTGCAAGTGCTCGGAGACAAATGTAAAGGACTGCAAGGCGGAGGCGGACACAGCAGCCCAGAGCCGGAAGACAAATGTAAAGGACTTCAAGGCAGAGGCGGACACAACAGCCTAGAGTTGGGAGACAAATGTAGACACGGGGAGGCAAATGTAAAGCAAAGAATTGCAAGCGACATGCAGGTGAGAGGTGGGAGACAAATGTAACGGATTGCAGGGCACAGCAGTCCAGAGCTGGGAGACAAGTGTGAAGGGTTGCAAGTGAGAGGGGGAGAGAGGAGCCCAGAGTTGGGAGGCACGGACAATGCAACGAGCTGGGAGACAAATGTAAAGGATTGCAAGGCAGAGGCGGACACAGCAGCCCAGAGCCGGAAGACAAATGTAAAGGACTTCAAGGCAGAGGCGGACACAACAGCCTAGAGTTGGGAGACAAATGTAGACACGGGGAGGCAAATGTAAAGCAAAGAATTGCAGGCGACATGCAGGTGAGAGGTGGGAGACAAATGTAAGGGTTGCAAGTGAGAGGGGGGAGAGAGGAGCCCAGACTTAGGAGGCACGGACAATGCAACGAGCTGGGAGACAAATGTAAAGGATTTCAATCGGCCCCTGCCTTGCAATCCTTTACATTTGTCTCCAGCTCTGGGCTGCTGTGTCCGCCTCAGACAAGAAGGGAAACAAAAGGAAACAGACGGCGGACACAGTGACTAACAAGAAGGGAGACAAGAGTGGAGACAAAGGGAGACAGAAGGGAGACAAGGCGGACACAATGACCAACAACAAGAGAAAGAAGAAGGTAGACAAGAAGAGAGACAAGAAGGGAGACAAAGGGAAACAGAAGGGAGACAAGGGGGGACACAATGACCAAAATGAAGGGGGACAAGAAGGGAGACAAAAGGAAACAGAATGGAGACAAGACGGACACAGTGAGGAACAAGAAGGCACAGTGACCAACAAGAAAGGAGACAAGACCGGACAAAGGGAGACAACGAAGGGTGACAAGCCGGAGGGAAGGCGGACACGCTGTCCGGCAGCAAGGCGGACAACCTTAGAAAGTATTGAGACCTCCTAACGGTAACCTGTTTGGGGAAGTAAAGAAACCACGTGGGAGACAATTGAATAGAAATGCTGCATGGCCAGTGGAAAAGGGTGGACACCAGCAGTGCAGGCACCGAACCTGGGAGACAAAAGTAAAGAAATTACATGGGAGACAACTGAGTAGAAATGTTGCATGGCCAGCGGAGAAGGGCGGACACCAACAGTACAGGCACCGAACCTGGGAGACAAAAGTAGGTGAATCACAGAAATGCTGCATGGCCAGCGCAAAAGGGAGGAAGACTTGTATTGAATCGCTGACAGAGCTTTCTCAATGCAGCAGGTTTCGAATTGAAGAACCTTGTTGCAGAGAGAGAGCTGTTTTGACTCGGTTCAGCTGGTTAACTTGTAATATAACTTGGATTATGTCGGGCCTCGATTTAGCAGAGCCCTGAAGCTCACACTGTCGCAGAGTAGCAGATGACCATCATGCAGAAGCAAACGGGTATATATCTGTATTGATTCCCATTGTATGGGGTTCTGCAGTTGGTGCGCCAATTCCATCAGTGTCCTGCAGCAAATGCACTAAAGTGCTTTATGCTAAACAATCATCCCTACTGACAGTTATTCCGTGAACCCAAACCTAAGCTAAGCACCCTATTCACCCCTATTCATCCCAGTTCCTATAGGCATGGCGCTACATGTACAGCTTTAACCGTGTTTGTTTGAAAGATGTACAATGTACAGTGCTCGCCTTTGTCCAACCTTCCGCCAGGCAAAAGCACTCACAAGTGCTCACCGCTAGAGCCGGCGCAGCCCAACTCAGGCAACGAGTGCGGAGTGGCATACCCAAACTAGAATACTGTATTCCACGATTTCACATCTCCCAAGTATAACATGACCCTGAAAAGTTTGATTGATCCCCTGTTCAGTTTCCTGGCGCGGTAGAGACCCCAATATTCCTTTCTGACCTTCCTGAAAAAGACAAAGCAGTATACCAGTACAATCTCAGCCCAAACAAGTAGGTTTGAGATAGGTTTAACAACCGGTCCACAAAATTTAGAACATTGTACTGGATGGGTCTTTGAAAGTATATGGTTTACAATTTTTTCTCAGAACCAATGAAATGTTTATCCCTTTGCAAATGGCATCTATGCATTTGGTAAAAACTAGCCCGGCAAGAGACCCCAAACAGTGTGTGTGAGGTCTGCAAGCAGAAAGTCTATAGAGATCTCTGCGCGTCGGGGTTCACCAAGTGCTGTGCCTGCCACGAAATATGCACTTCGAGGTTCACCATGCTGTGCCTGCCACGAAAGCTGCACATCGAGGTTCACCAAGTGCTGTGCCTGCCACGAAATCTGCACCTGGAGGTTCAAAAAGTGCTGCACCTGCCACGAAATCTGCACATGGAGGTTCACAAAGTGCTGCGCCTGCCACGACATCTGCGCATGGAGGTTCACAAAGTGCTGTGCCTGCCA